GATCGTGCCACAAATCGGATCAGGTTTGCGCCGTGGATCGTGCTGTGGATCGGATCAATGCAGATCGTGCCGCATGATTGGATTTGTGGCACAGGACGGGATCAGATTTGTGCTGTGAGATCGGATTCGTGGCACAAGGAATCAGATTCGAGCCACGAGATTGGATTTATGGCACAGGACGGGATCAGATTCGTGCCCATGAGATTGGATTCGTGGCACATGACAGAAGCAAATTCGAGCATCATATTCGTGCCATGAGATAGGATTCATGGCACAAGACGGGATCAGATTCGTGGCACAAGATGGAATCAGATTCGTGCCCACGAGATCGGATTCGTGGCACAGGATGGGATTCATGGCACAAGACAGGATCAGATTCGTGCCCATGAGATCGGATTCGTGGCACAGAATCAGATTCGAGCCACGAGATCGGATTTATGGCACAGGATGGGATCAGATTCGTGCCCACGAGATCGGATTCGTAGCACAGGATGGGATCGGATTCGTGGCACAGCATCAGATTCGAGCCACGAGATCGGATTTATGGCACAGGATGGGATCAGATTCGTGCCCACGAGATCGGATTCATAGCACAGGATGGGATCAGATTCGTGGCACAAGACGGAATCAGATTTGAGCCGCGAGATCGGATTTGTGGCACAGGACCGGATCAGATTTGTGCTGTGAGATCGGATTCGTGGTATGGGATGGGATCAGATTCGTGGCACGGGATGGGATCAGATTCATGGCACGGGATGGGATCAGATTCGTGCCCATGAGATCGGATTCGTGGCACAAGACGGAATCAGAGTCAAACCACGAGATCGGATTCGTGGCACAGGATGGGATCAGATTTGAGTCACGAGATCAGATTCGAGCCACGAGATCGGATTTGTGGCACAGGACGGGATCAGATTTGTGCTGTGAGATCAGATTCGTGGTATGGGATGGGATCAGATTCGGGGCACGGGATGGGATCAGATTTGTGGCACAAGACGGAATCAGATTCGAGCCACGAGATCGGATTTGTGGCACAGAACCAGATCAGATTTGAATCATGAGATCAGATTCGTGGTATGGGATGGGATCAGATTCGTGGCACGGGATGGGATCAGATTTGTGCCCATGATACTGGATTCTTTGTGCCCATGATACTGGGATTCGTGGCACAGGATGGAATCAGATTCGTGCCGCGAGATCAGATTTGTGGCACAGGATGGGATCAGATTTGTGCCCATGATACTGGATTCGTGGCACAGGATGGGATCGGAATCATGGCACAAGACAGGATCAGATTCGAGCCACGAGATCGGATTTGTGGCACAGAACCAGATCAGATTTGAATCATGAGATCAGATTCGTGGTGCAGGATGGGATCAGGTTCATGGCACAAGACGGGATCAGATTTGGCCACGAGATCGGATTTGTGGCACGGGACAGGATCGGATTCGAGCCATGAGATCAGATTCGTGCCACAGGATGGGATCAGATTTGGCCATGAGATTCGATTCGTGGCACAGGATGGGATGAGATTTGTGGCACAGGACGGAATCAGATTTGTGCCGTGAGATCAGATTTGTGGCACAGGATGGGATCAGATTCGAGCCACGAGATCGGATTTGTGGCACAGGACCGGATCAGATTTGAGTCATGAGATCAGATTCGTGGCACAGGACGGGATCAGATTCGTGCCCATGAGATCGGATTCATGGCACAAGATCGGATTTGTGCCACAAGATGGAATCAGATTCATGCCCATGAGATTGGATTCGTGGCACAAGACGGGATCAGATCCGTGCTGCAAGATCCGATTCGTGGCACAGGACAGGATCATATTCGTGCCATGAGATAGGATTCATGGCACAAGACGGGATCAGATTCGTGGCACAAGATGGAATCAGATTCGTGCCCACGAGATCGGATTCGTGGCACAGGATGGGATTCATGGCACAAGACAGGATCGGATTCGTGCCCATGAGATCGGATTCGTGGCACAAGACAGGATTAGATTCGTGCCCACAACATCGGATTTGTGGCACAGGATGGGATCAGATTCATGGCACAAGACGGGATCAGATTTGGCCACGAGATCAGATTTGTGGCACAGGACGGGATCAGATCCGTGCCCATGCTATTGCATTTGTGGCACAGGACGGGATCGGATTCGTGGCACAAGGTGGGATCAGATTCGTGCCCATGATATTGGATTCGTGGCACAAGACGGGGTCAGATTCGTGCCACGAGATCGGATTTGTGCCATGAGATTGGGTTGGATTAGTGCCAGGAGACCAGATTGTACCACGGATCAGATCAGTTTTAAGCCACGAGAATGGATTCGTGCCAGGAGATTGGATCATGCCATGGATCAGGCTGGCCCAGACCGTGCCCTGAGACCGGATCAGATGCGTGCCACCATGGGATCGCGCCACAGAACAGCTCGGAATTGTGCCAGGAGATTGGGTTGGATTCGTGCCAGGAGATCGGATCGTGCCCCAGCTTGGATCGGATTCGTGCCAGGAGCTTGGACCATGCCCCGGATCGGATCAGATCAGTGCAGCTCGCGCCACGAGATGGGATCAGTTTATGCCATGAGATGGGGTTCACACCAGGGTGGGTGGTGCCAAAAGAGCCCCCCATCTCCCCACGTCCTTGGCCATGGTGAGGACGCCCCAAAAACGCCTTCACCGTGGTGGTGCTGGTGATGGTGGTGGTGACAGTGATGGTGGGTAACCAGTACTGTTGATGGTGGTGGTGGTGGTGGTGCTGGTGTTGATGGTGGTGATGCTGGTGATGGTAGTGGTAGTGACAGTGATGGTGGTGGTGGTGGTGCTGGTGTTGATGGTAGTGGTGGTGATGGTGTTGGTGTTGGTGGTGGTGCTGGTGATGGTAGTGGTAGTGACAGTGATGGTGGTGGTGGTGGTGTTGATGGTGATGGTAGTGGTAGTGATAGTGACGGTGGTGGTGGTGTTGATGGTGATGGTAGTGGTAGTGATAGTGACGGTGGTGGTGGTGTTGATGGTGGTGGTGGTGGTGCTGGTGTTGGTGTTGATGGTGGTGGTGCTGGTGATGGTAGTGGTAGTGACAGTGATGGTGGTGGTGGTGGTGTTGATGGTGATGGTAGTGGTAGTGATAGTGACGGTGGTGGTGGTGTTGATGGTGATGGTAGTGGTAGTGATAGTGACGGTGGTGGTGGTGTTGATGGTGGTGGTGGTGGTGCTGGTGTTGGTGTTGATGGTGGTGGTGCTGGTGATGGTAGTGGTAGTGACAGTGATGGTGGTGGTGGTGGTGTTGATGGTGATGGTAGTGGTAGTGATAGTGACGGTGGTGGTGGTGTTGATGGTGATGGTAGTGGTAGTGATAGTGACGGTGGTGGTGGTGTTGATGGTGGTGGTGGTGGTGCTGGTGTTGGTGTTGATGGTGGTGGTGCTGGTGATGGTAGTGGTAGTGACAGTGATGGTGGTGGTGGTGGTGTTGATGGTGATGGTAGTGGTAGTGATAGTGACGGTGGTGGTGGTGTTGATGGTGATGGTAGTGGTAGTGATAGTGACGGTGGTGGTGGTGTTGATGGTGGTGGTGGTGGTGCTGGTGTTGGTGTTGATGGTGGTGGTGCTGGTGATGGTAGTGGTAGTGACAGTGATGGTGGTGGTGGTGGTGTTGATGGTGATGGTAGTGGTAGTGATAGTGACGGTGGTGGTGGTGTTGATGGTGATGGTAGTGGTAGTGATAGTGACGGTGGTGGTGGTGTTGATGGTGGTGGTGGTGGTGCTGGTGTTGGTGTTGATGGTGGTGGTGCTGGTGATGGTAGTGGTAGTGACAGTGATGGTGGTGGTGGTGGTGTTGATGGTGATGGTAGTGGTAGTGATAGTGACGGTGGTGGTGGTGTTGATGGTGATGGTAGTGGTAGTGATAGTGACGGTGGTGGTGGTGTTGATGGTGGTGGTGGTGGTGCTGGTGTTGGTGTTGATGGTGGTGGTGACAGTGATGGTGTTGGTGGTGCTGGTGTTGGTGTTGGTGTTGATGGTGATGGCAGTGGTAGTGATGGTGGTGGTGCAGGTGTTGATGGTAGTGGTGGTGATGGTGTTGGAGGTGATGGTGGTGGTGCTGGCGGTGGTGATGGCATTGATGGTAGTGGTGGTGCTGGTGTTGGTGTTGATGGTGGTGGTGACAGTGATGGTGTTGGTGGTGCTGGTGGTGGTGCTGGTGTTGATGGTAGTGGTGGTGGTGCTGGCGGTGGTGATGGCATTGATGGTAGTGGTGGTGGTGCTGGCGGTGGTGATGGCATTGATGGTAGTGGTGGTGGTGCTGGCGGTGGTGATGGCATTGATGGTAGTGGTGGTGGTGCTGGCGGTGGTGATGGCATTGATGGTAGTGGTGGTGGTGCTGGCGGTGGTGATGGCATTGATGGTAGTGGTGGTGGTGCTGGCGGTGGTGATGGCATTGATGGTAGTGGTGGTGGTGCTGGCGGTGGTGATGGCATTGATGGTAGTGGTGGTGGTGCTGGCGGTGGTGATGGCATTGATGGTAGTGGTGGTGGTGCTGGCGGTGGTGATGGCATTGATGGTAGTGGTGGTGGTGCTGGCGGTGGTGATGGCATTGATGGTAGTGGTGGTGGTGCTGGCGGTGGTGATGGCATTGATGGTAGTGGTGGTGGTGCTGGCGGTGGTGATGGCATTGATGGTAGTGGTGGTGGTGCTGGCGGTGGTGATGGCATTGATGGTAGTGGTGGTGGTGCTGGCGGTGGTGATGGCATTGATGGTAGTGGTGGTGGTGCTGGCGGTGGTGATGGCATTGATGGTAGTGGTGGTGGTGCTGGCGGTGGTGATGGCATTGATGGTAGTGGTGGTGGTGCTGGCGGTGGTGATGGCATTGATGGTAGTGGTGGTGGTGCTGGCGGTGGTGATGGCATTGATGGTAGTGGTGGTGGTGCTGGCGGTGGTGATGGCATTGATGGTAGTGGTGGTGGTGCTGGCGGTGGTGATGGCATTGATGGTAGTGGTGGTGGTGCTGGTGGTTGGTGGTGGTGCTGGTGTTGGTCTCACCTCATCCTCTCCTGCTCCCGCCTCAGCCGCTCCTTCTCCCTCTCCACCTGCTCTGCCTGAGCCTTCAGCGCCTTCTCCCGCTCCTCCTTCTCCCGCGCCGCCCTCTTGAACTGCTCGAAGCTGTCGCTGGAGGACTTCGCCGTGGAGGACGGAGTGGTGGGATGCTTCTGGACCAAGCTCGCCCAGGAACCCATGTTCTTGATTTTCAGGTCCTACAGAGAGAAGATGAGTTGGAGGATGCCAGAGGAGGTGGTGGACCCACATCAGGCAGCATCTCCTCCCCCCAAAAACCAAGCGGGAATGCCGGGAGTGGGACTGGCTCCTCCAGCCCCTCACATTCCCCATGCATGCTTGGAGAATCATAGAATGGTTTGGGTTGGAAGGGACCTTTCAAGGTCATCCAGTCCAACCCTTCTACCACCAACAGGGCCATCTTCACCCAGACCAGGTTGCTCCCAGCCCCATCCAACCTGACCATGAATGTTTCCAGGGATGGGGCATCCATCACCCATCTGGGCAACCCCTCCTGGTGTCTCACCACCCTCAACGTAAAATATTTCTTCTCTAGGTCCAACCTAAACCTCCCCTCTCCCAAGCTGAAAACTGTTGGCCCTCGTTCTACAGATCTTGGTCAAAAGTCTCCATTTTTCTTCTAAGGCTACAAGAAGGTCTCCTTGGAGCCTTCTCCAGGCTGAAGAACCCCAATTCTCTCAGCCTGTCCTCACAGGAGAGGTTCTCCAGCTCTTCTGTCATCTTTGTGGCCTTCTTCGGACCTGCTCCAACAGGTCCATGTCCTCTGTATCCTGAGGACCCCACAACTTGACCCAAGACTCCAGGGTGGGCGATCTCAGGAGAGCAGAGGGGGAGGAGCACCTCCCTCAACCCACTGGCCAACGCTTCTTCTGACACAGCCCAAGACAGGGTCG